ATAAGGGAAATGGAAAGCCAGGCGGCTGGAACAGCAGAAAACAGCCGAGGGCAGCGGCGGCGAGCGGGAACAACGGCGCAGCAGCGGGGAATGTGTGGGACTGCAGGACAGCCAAAGGAGGGCAGTCCCACGGCTGCAGCAGCAATGATGATGGCTGTTAAAGCAAGGGAAGCCCGCCGAGAGCAACTTGTGGAGGATGTGAAAGGAGATAGCGGAGATAATCACCATTTCCCTCGAAGGAATAAAACGGATACCGGCAGTTGTCCCTGAACAAACACAAAAACAACCTAGAACATCTGAAATGCAAATATATAATAACAGGATAGCGAGGAGTGGCAAGGAGAGTCGGCCGACTCAACCATAGCAAAAAAACCTGGACCGGTTTGGTCCAAGCACGAAAACGAAGCCCGCCTGGTCGTTGGACTGTAGCACATCGCGAAATTGGGTTGTTGTACTACAGCAGGTAGCTCCCGTGTCAGTCTTCGAAGATTGGGAGAGCTTCAACCTCAAATGTCGAAGCTTTTGCTCCTCATAGTAGTCAGATCAGCCCCGTTGAAGGCAGAGGCAATGTTGCAAGTTTCCTGAATTCAATAATGTAGTCGTTGTCATTCCAAAGCATATTCCGATATAATAAATATCATCCACCTTTGACACACCTTGAATTGGAGTTGCATACCAACGTAGATTGTCACAAGCCAAATTCTGAGCAAGTAAACCTATAATCTACTTCTTCCACTTGTACTTTGTTGGATGTGTTTAATAAACAAGTATGTCAGGAGAAATCAATTCTGAGATGAAAACCATCACAGGCTGGGCTATACTGAAAGGTAACCACCCATGAGAGGTCTCTTCTTCTTCCTCTTTGAAAGTATATTGATCCCATTGTATGATGATCCTTCTTGCAAAGCTCCTAAGGCGATTTCCAATATTGTGATTCGTCTATCCTGCCCAATCAACATTGATGAGTGTAAAGCCGAACTGAATTTAACACCCCAATGACTCCATATGAACTTCCTGAAGAGACCCAAAAGAGTCTAACCTTAGACATATTGAATCTCCCTCAGTAGAGGTAACTCGAAAAGTAGCCTATAGATCTGAAAAAGTCTAAATTTTTCTTATATGGGATTGTCATACCTCTGGTGTTGGTTACTCAAACTCAAGGCCATCTTGAACAATAACTATTAATTCAATTGGAGTCCCTCTCATGGGCTCAACTGATACTATGTGCATCTTTTCCTCATTCATTGGAAGTTCATGCTCCTTGGTGTCCTCACCTTCTTCAGTATCTATTGTCATTACTCATTTTCCAATAACGCCATGCTTTGTGAAATAGATCATTCTCCTAGTTGTGCAATCTGATTCAATATGCCCAAATCAGTGGCACTTGAAACACTTTCTGCTTGGAGCAACTTTAAGAATACTGGTTCGCTCTACTTGTTCTGTACTCTGAATCAGTTTTTCTCTCAGCAGGGCCGGCTTGGATGTTCCCCTGAATGTAATTTGGTTATAAGATCCTGGGGTTGAACTGTCTATGAGATGTGGTGGTCGCCCGGTGATGCGGTCTCTCCATTTTTGAAGTTGAAATATGAACATCCGACCTATACTGAATTCGTAAGTAATGACACGGCATCTCTCGTTTCATCTTCGACTATGTAGTAATTTTACTATTCCCTTGTCGTTCTCGAAGAATCTTCAAGTTCGTCCACCACTAAAATGCACTCTTCCTTAACTTAGTAGTAGTTATTTTCACAATTTTGTATGCTAGGAGGCCCTAGTACTGAAAGACATATTCCAAGGTCCATAACCACTAGATGACCTCGTCATGATCTATATGATTGTCAAAATATGACAAATCTATAGTTATCACAAAATCCCAGCTTCTCGGATATTTCAGGACAAATATTTGAGTTACAGGTTCTTCATCCCAGGAATCCGCATGATAGAAAAAATTCACTACATTCTTCAAACTAGCAAGTCACCGTTGTGGCTATGTGTAGCCCATTATGATGGTTTCCTTTTCTTAATTTCATCGAGTCGTCGTAACACTCGGCAAAGTAGTTGTTGTAACTCTTCCATGGTAAACTCTTGATTTGCGTATAATTGTCTCCTAAACGGCATGAATAAGGTTTGGGTGTGGGTAGGTGAAAGGAGCGTGTAGGGTGAGAAAGAAAAATTTAGGATGGAGGTAAGGTCGGCTATGGATGGATGCTAGAAACCCTAAGATATGACTAGGTTGAGTTAGCTCTGATACAAATGATACTAGAGTTAACCCAAATCACAATAGTAAAAACAAATAGAGCTCGATCCATGGATGGTGAAGGTCGGTTAGGTGGTTGAGAAGCGAGATTGGTGGCTGAAATGGGTTGTGAGTAGTTGTGACAGCAAAAGGAAGAGCTGGAATTGGGTTGGCAGCAGCAAAAGGCTGGGATAGCAGTGAAACAGCTAGAAAGTGTGGTTCTGGGTTGCGGCAGTCAAAGGGAGGAGTTGCGTTAATGGCAACAAGTTGGAATGAGGGAAATGGAGGGTTTCTTACTGGAACAGAAGAAAACAGCCAAGAACAGTTGTTTTCAGGCAACAAAAACGAGCAGAAATGACAGCGGCAGTGGCAAGAAATGTGTGGGACTTCAAGACAGCCAGAGGGTTGTCCCGAGGCTGCAGCAGCGATGGCAATGGTTGTACAGCGAGGAGCTACAGAAAGAACAATAGCAATTGTTGTTCGGGGATGGCTACAATAAGGGAGGATGGTCATGAGCGACATGGGGAGGATGTGGAAAGAGATAGAAAAGATAATCACCTTCTCGAGAGAGAGATACAGCCGGAGCACCATTCAAACCCTCAGATACAGCTCTCGAAGGGAGAAAATGGAGCTCGACATCTGTCCTTAACAAAGTGACACAAAAACAAAACCTAGAAAATCAGAAAAGTAAAAATATAATAAAAGGATAGCAAAGAATGGCCCAGGAGAGCCAATTGACACCACCAAAGCAAAAAATCCTGGATCGGTTCGATCAATGCATAAAAATAAAAAAAATGCCGCATATCAAAGAAAGAGACAATTGTACTGAAGCAGATAGCTCTCGCATCAGAAAGGCTATTTTAAAATGTTGGCAAAACCAAAGCTTTCTCTATATTGACAAAAGCATTAGCCCAAGTCCACATAATATAAGCATTAATAAAGAAAATTATTTTCTAAGGGTAGGCGTGCCTATTCCATATCTTTTAAGGTTGCATGAGTAAATTATATAAATGTAAAGCAACTCATACCATATATTGAAAAAAAAAATCATTGAAAATAATCGGTGCATCAAACCTTTAATGGATGGATACAACAAAATGAAGTCACTTCATACAAGGAAAAAGGATGAAGGGAAACAACTAATGAAAGAGAACATAATTTTATGAATTCTATTAAAAAAATAAGACAGCATTTCCTAAATAGCCATTTGAACCCTAGATGGGCACCTAAAAGTTATATATTCAAATAGAAATACAATGTTGAAATATATCTCATATCAGAGTGTCAATTCAAGTTGATCGACCGGTTTCAAATCTAACTCGAAGTTGACCCAATATGAATATACTTGACCCAAATTCGACCTGTATATAACATGGATTAAAATATTTGACCTGAATCCACCTTGACAAGAACCTGACACATCTAACCAATTTTTTAAAAGGATCATAATTTTTTTTTGGATCACCACAACCTAATAAGCCCAAACATGATCGATTTACCAGATTAACCAAGCCCAATCCGGCCTAACTCAAACTTAAAAAATAATTATTGGGTTCAACCCAAACTTAATATAAATAATAATTAACTTCAGGCGCTTGGCCCAAACCCGACCTAAATAGTAATAATGTCAACCAAAACCCGAATTTTTCGAATAAAGTTTAGATCATTTCATTTATTGATGCCCCCAATTTCATATAAACACCCAATAATTCTATTATTTGCTCCAAAGCCAAAAGTAGAATATAAACTACAACATCACAAAGTTTCGTTCAATGCCACAAAATTTGCAGCTAATCATCCCTCCAAACCATCTGCTCAGAATATTTTTTTCTTTACTGATAATTATGACAACCTAAGATAGCGACATTAGCACAGAATCCGTTAGATGTATTTTTGCACGCAGAAGCACTTGAGATGTAATATAGAACTCTAGCTGTAAAGTAAATATAACTTTTAGTGAAAAACAAAGCCGCCTACCAATCAAATTACACATCTGAGTAGTAACATTAGTATACTTCACAATAACCTCACCTTATCCAGAAGAATTGTTTTCAACAAGGGCTCCGGTGATAAAATGTTCTTCTCTCCAACATTAATGCCAAAGTTATAAACAGTGATTACCTCAATATCAGAAACCTAGATGAGGAATAAGTCAGAAATTGTGAGTATATACCATAGAAGTATAAAATATCTACAACATCAAATGTGACAACACACCAAAAAAAAAAAAAGAAGAAACATAAAATTGCCAGCAATGGCAATGGTATGATTCCATAAAATGGAAGATCATGTTATAGAAAGTGCTGGAAAAGCTCATACAACACTTAAGAAAAACAAAATGAAAAACAGTTGCAACTATGTATTCCAAACTTTTACACGGTTTCAAAATTCAACGGTTGTTACTACTTTAGCCAAACAGGAATCACTTACATGTAAAACCGCTAAAGTAATAACGTTGGTGTCATAATTAGCACAACCAACCCATAAGCGAGAGGGAGTAGTTCCTGGCATGTTAAACAGGAAGAAACAATTTAAAAGAAAATAACATGCAGCATGATAACCACTTTACACAACAGATTAAATCAAAATATTACCATCTAAATGAAAAATAATATTTTTACTATCAAGGCTTGAGACATCAACAAAAAATTTAGTTATCATCATCTAGACATTTCTTTTTTAATGAAAATATTGGGATTAACCCTTCCCATTATAAGCAAAAGAGCAAATTATCAAGTTATATGACGAATACAAAGACCAGAAAATAAATTATCAAGTTATATGACGAACACAAAGGCTGGAAAATAAATAAATAGAGGACACTGTAATATGTTATCAAAATATATTGGCATAAATTACGGTTTTGACATGTTGAAAATTTGTTAATTGGAGCCTTTTTTTTTGGTGGGATAAAAAGAATTCAAAACAATTTTTTTTATAAATAAATACCGATTTTCTAAATAATTTTCTAAGAAAAAATTGTTCAAAAGTTAGTAGCAATTTTTTTTATCATGGATAAGCATTAATTTTAAATTTGAACAAGATTTTATTTTTTAACTTGCACCTACTTAACTTATATCAGTACAAAACAGAAGTTGGGGTTTTCAAAAAGTTTCTACTTAGTGATTGACAATAAAGAACTAAAAAAGCATGGCTGTCGTGCTGAAGAATTGGAGCAAAGCTCTTAGTAGGATAAAAATTTTCTTCTTTGCATGAAGAAATAAAGCAGAGAGAAGAAAAAATATAGATAAGAGAGAAAAATAAAAAGGGAGGGAATAAGTGCGCAAAAGGGAGAGAACAAAAAGAGGAGAAGATAAAAAAGAAAAAAATCCTTTACTGATTTTGTTTGTAGTCATCATCTATTGTCTCACTGCAGTGCAAGCATGATAGACTGAGTGTGAGTACAATGGTTTTGCATACAAATACGATCGCAACTAAAGGTAAGTTGGGTGATGCATGAAAATATCTTGTTTCTGTTAAGAAAAATCTCTAAGTCGTTGATTTCTTTCTTTAAATCCATAAATTTGTTGTTTGATTTTTTAACATTCTTCACCTAATATTTAAAAGTATATCAGAAATTTTAGAGGGCAAACCACATAATCATTTTTCAAGTTTTCTAAGAATTTTATATTTTCATCCTCATTCTGGCCAGCACAATCATTTTAGTAGCAACTAAAATCAAAGCCAATTAGCGTTCAAAGGTAAAAATGCGAGCAATGCCAGCTCAGGATGGAAAGGTGATTCCATTGAAAACCTTTACATGATGGGTCAAGTTTTGCCCCAGGTCTGTGGAATATTCCATTTTTTTCACTTCTCTATTTCTCCTGCCTCTTTTATATATATATGTATGTATGTATATATATATATATA